AAGTCTTTGCACCCAAACGTGTACCCACTCGGATCATCGTTTTCATCTCTGTGTATGCAACGAGACTAGTTGCCTAATCTCATTGGATAGTACTCGCCGAGACTCATCCTCTGATACCAAATGTAACACACATGGTTTTGACCCTTTATCCTATGGTGATTTACCATAGGATAACACCACGAAGCGGAACCTAAACCCTCTTTATGCCACGTGACAGATGCCACATGTCACATGCCACATGTCTATCCCACGTGTCCATAGGAACTCGAGGTTCAAGGCCTTGGGCCACTGAACGAAAGAACGGTGCCAAACTCCCAAGCATGGAGCCAAGGAGTGATGGAACCGAACCACAGAGTAACTCCCGAGCATACAGCCCAAGGAGCGAAGGGATAGGAGCCCAAAGCGACTTGAAACAGTCCTGGAGCAACCAGCATCCTAATGCCAAGACTAACACGCAAAACGGAGCCAAATGGAGTCTCGTGCTATTTCGGCATACCAGTGGCATAACGCGAGGAAATGGGTACCCCACCAACTAGCATGGTATGGAACTTGGGCTTAGACCCAAGCCGGATGTAGAACAAGGACAGGCACGCAAGCAAGAGCTAGACTATGCCTCAAGTTGGTCAGCCATGCCCGACCTACCCACTATCCCTACTATACATTTGGAACCCCCCATATCCCCCCCCCCTTGAGGAACACACGCTTTGGGCTTTCATCCCAAGCCTCCTTTAGTATCAAGAGTTAATTTATAGGACAAATTTGAAACTTATTAAATATGGAATGTCCCTAATTTGTGAATTTGGACACGGGATGAACACCATTGTGTTCAAGCCGACCTCGACATTCCGTAGACATGCCAAATGAGCGAATCTAGACACTTTCCATAAATAAAACTTATGACCAAAATGAGACTAATATAAAGGGCATGATAGCGAAGGTGTTTAGCAGACACGGTAAGCTATCATCCGGCGATATTGAGGGACTAGTCTCAATACGCAAGGGTTCTTGCCAAGCCAGTGCAAGACAGAGCAAAAGAAAAGTAAAAGCCAGGCTGAGAATGCTCAGCTAGAAACACATAGAAGTTCCTACCTTATGTCCATCTGGCTAAGTACAGATGTTAAGCCCAGTTTACTAACACTTGGACAAGAGGGGCCAATAAAGGGAACCAGCAATATCAACCTCTTGCCATCGTGGCAGTAAGGTAAGAGTGTACGTAAGAACTGGCCGACAGATAACTTTCGATACCCGAAGTCACATTCGCGATAGACATTGATAACAAGAGCTTGATTCAACTTCTCAAAAGCCTTATTGAGTGCCAAGATTTCTTTTTGCTTCACTGTAGCCACACCCGCTTTCCTCCAATTCCTGAAAAAGATGACAAAAATCTTGGAAGAGAACTCATAAATCCTCCTTACCAGTGTAGCACTTTGATAAAATTTCTATCTCAATCACTGTGATCTCTACAGTAGTCCTTATCCCATAGCACAGAAGGAGGCAATCCCAGATTTTTGTTAGAGGTAGAGATGATGTGGCAGTAGTTATGCCCACGTGGCAGTAGCTTTATGTATATGTACACAATCATATACAGTTATATATATACAGTTCTTCCTCCTCGTGTGCGCGTCTCTCCGCTGCTAACATGGTATCGGAGCCTTGGGCTCCTTGATCCTGGGCATGGCGCTTGCTGGCCAGGAGGCCAGTGATGAGGAGGAGGATGAGCCTCCCAATTGCAATCCCTCTTGCAATGTTTGGGACGCTTGAGGCGTTGCACCAAGGCACCAGGCTGTGTAGAGGTGCTGAGCAACAAGCAGCAGCAAGTAGAGAACAAAGCCAGTGGGAGATTGAGAGATTTCACCAACCCACATCAAGAATTGGGTCAAGATTCAAGAACATTGCATAGCAATTCTTTGCAGGAATTTCCAGCAATTGGGAAGGATGCTCATGGAGATTCAAGTGCCTAGTCGCAGAGAAGTGGGAGCCTGGCAGTTCACGGCCAAGACCTCATGCTAGAGGCAAGATTGAAGCCATAGCAAGAAGCAAAGAGTGTGCAAGCAAGTCCAAGACCAAGAACCAAGTTTTGGGTAGTTGATTGATGAGTTTTCATATGCTTTTCTCATCAGCTTTCCATGCTCATCATCTGAGACTAGCTAGGCACGATTCAGGCTTAGATTCAGACTGGAATCAGCCGCCTGATCGTGAGTGGGAGTGTTAGAGGTAGAGATGATGTGGCAGTAGTTATGCCCACGTGGCAGTAGCTTTATGTATATGTACACAATCATATACAGTTATATATATACAGTTCTTCCTCCTCGTGTGCGCGTCTCTCCGCTGCTAACAATTTTTGCAATAGACTTGTCTCTTGTTGCATATGCTAGATGCTTTGCTAGCTTTGATTTGATGATGGCTTGAGCAGTCTACTCTTGACTGCTACTGCGAGTGAACTTAGTGGCTGAAGAATCAGCACCTTGGGGAGATGCCCATCAAGCTCAACACATGAGTCATTTAGTCCCTCTAGTACCAAAAATGCCTTGAGCCATCAAATGGCTGGAGATTTGCAAGAATGGTAGCAACCAATCACTCCATCAGCAATGAGAGAAAGAAATAGGAACAAAGAAAGAAAAGAAAAAGTAACAAGCCACAAGCCTGATACCATGAAGAGAAAATGAGTTGCCATTCACACGTCAATCATGCTCTATATACAGACTATTCCTGACTGATTGGTGCATGATTCCTGGAGACTTGAGCAAATCAACAACTGCTACCTTCCACACAACCTTCCTGCTCAGCCTATGCTCGCAAGCAAACTCTTGGAAATTGGCGTGCAAGACGAGCTCCCATCGCCAGGAAAAACACAAGGTACTTCACACATCTTTCCAATGAAAAGAAGTACTCGTTGCCAGACACTTCAGCTTGTCCAAAACCACACACAAACCATCCACCCGGCTTGAGCCACGATGGAGATGTTCTTCAGGCTGTACGCACGGTGGCAGTGTACTGTACTGCAGCGTGTCCTTCCCCTGTGAATTCTTGGGGCAAGCTTGACGACAACTTGGCTGCCATGGTCGAGGTCGCTCTTTGATTCTTTCGAAGGAAGCCCCAAGTTTTAACGGCTGGGAGGCTTTAACGGCTGAGATACAATCAGGGGACTTTCGTCATCCAAAACTCCTTGGACGAAAGCAGAACAGTATTTGAGCTAAGAGAGCCGCTGCTTCACAGCAACATTGGCAACTCTGAGAGCTGGCTTTAATCGCAGCAGCACCCTGAGAGTTTAGAAATGCACCTCTGTGCGTCTTGAGTCCCACCATCTTCATTCCAGAACAAATGCGAGCAAACATACACCGCACGACGTTGATCCGGCTTTCTTAGCAATTTCGCCGAGTACTGCATCGTCAGTCTGCAAGTCCGAGAGTGAGATTGGTCTGAAAATACGGGCAAAGCTTACCCCTGAAGCTTTGTGAGAGCGTGTCTCTGTTTTCTACCCCAGAAACAGTACTTATCTGAGGTGCGTTACCGCTTTAGAGTCCTGCAGATAAATGTTAGGACAAAGTCCAGAAAATAAATATGCCACACACTCACAACGATCTCTTCTTTTCTGGAGGAAGCAGCATAGCATCCCCCACACTCATGCTGAACCCGCAGGCTTTCCACCAACTCGGAGCTGCATCGAATACAGAAACTCCGCGTCTTCGGAGATATCGTAAGCCCAGGCCGTTGAGAGCTGACCACCTTTCACTAACTACTTGATCCGGGAGTCAGCAGTAAAAGCTCCTCCCGTGACCACCACAACAGGGAGCCAGTGTTGTTGAATTCGAAAGGCCCAAAGAAGACCTCCGTCCAGGAGCTCCACATATCTGTCATCTATCTGAAGCAGCTTGTCATCGCCGGCATAGCAACCACTAGCAAGATCTCTGTGGCCCTGAAAATATCTGGCCAGTAAACCACTGTCAACTAAAGGTAGGATATTTACCTCGGCACAATGTTGAGCGCATGCTCTGGGTTGAAAACATTCAAACATTTAATGCCGCCCCTGCCATTCTATGTTGAACTTTGCAAATCACAAATCAGTCAGTCAGTATGATTCATCTTGGGGTAAGGAGATCAGTTAGATCGAAAGAAAGGGTTGTGGAGTTTTCATGTGCATGAGCCAGTGCTTCAAGTGCTTAGGAGTGGAAAGCATCCAATTGCAAAAGATTTGATTGCAAGGTGTAGTAATGGTTTCTTTTTCTAGTAACCGTAACATATCATGTATCTTGTCAGATTCTTGGTTGTCACAGAGGTTGGACGTAATTGGGGTGAATAATGCTGATCCCAATCCAGTGTGCAAGAATTGGCATGTTAAGAGTTCTGGAGTTGAGATCCAGTTGATGTTGCAAACACCGAGGAAATGTGGAGCCTCATGAACATGTTTGAGGTGTCATTGCTGGTTGACTTCACACAACAAGGACAATATGACGTGGGGGATGTAAACAAAGCAGATGGTCTCCCTGTTCACGGCTGAAAGAAATCCATGCATAAAGCGCTTTGTCTTTGCAAGCCCATACAATGACTTTAGTGACAGGGACCCATGCTCTGGAGATCTGCGAGAAGTGTTCAAGGAGAAGCTCCACTTTACAACCACAGAGATGGGGCGGGTTTATTAACAAAAATCACTGCCGGGGAAACTATTTTCGTGAGGGAATTCAAAGTGGGGCTCCAGGATTACATTCACATTAACGATGCTGTTCGAGGGAAGCTCTTGAGGAGACTTATGGAAGGAAGGCTGGCCTAATTGCCCTTCCAAATGAGAGGGACGAAGATGAAGACGAAATTTGTATATCTGAAAGTTGTGCGGGAATTCCATTACCGCAGGCTCCATACGAGCTTGACAAGCTCGTGCCCCTCATCCATGGTTTGGAGAAACTTGAGGAGTGGCACCGATACAAGTACATAGAGTTTGGATATAAATTCCGGCCAAGACGAGAATGATATGAAGCATTGGATGTAATGATAATTAGATTAACACTATGATCAACATAAGAGCTTTCGTTTTCTTCCAAATGTCGGAATCTATGAATCTTTACCTGGCACGTAAGCCATACTATTATATTATCTCCGTTGGTAAATCTTTCCACCTGGGGCGAGCATGGCAAATTCTCAACTCCCAGCTACCTTCTGTGTCTTGCAGAGAAGCTTTGTAATGACACCGAGGTGTCTCTCTGCAACCCAACGTCCGACTCAAGAAGAAACAATGGTGGCAAAGTAGAAGCACGCATTTTGTTTTAGGTGAGAAGAAGATTCTGTAATTCGTGATACCGCAGACTTACTGTTCGTTTCAACTCTGTTCAGACGAGTTGCGCTAGTTGACTTGTTTTGAGGGGCTCATTCCTTGGAGATGATTCTTTTGCTAGGTGCTTGCTTCCTTCTTCTCATCACCACCATCTTCGCAATTCGCTTCTCTCCCAGCTCCAATCTTCCTCCAGGCAATCTCGGATGGCCGATCGTCGGGGAGACCCTCCAGTTCCTGGCCCTGTTTAGAAAGAACAAGGCATACAGCTTCTTCCACGAGCGCATGGCCAAGCATGGGGGAGTGTTCAAGACGAGCCTGCTCGGCTCCCCCACCATCGTCATGCCCGGCCCAGACGGGAATAAGTTCCTCTTCTCCCAAGAGAACAAGCTCGTTGTAGGATGCTGGCCTCCTTCCACTGCTAGCTTGCTCGGCCCGTGCTCGCTAGCAGTCCAGACTGGCCAAGAACACCGGCGACTACGGGAAGTGTTCATGACGTTCCTCAGCAGCCAAGCCCTCGGAAGATATCTTCCAAAGCTCTGCTTGCTTGCACAGAGTTTCCTCCAGTCGAAGTGGAATGAAGAGGCCGTCGTCACTGTAGCACCGCTGGTCCAGAGCTTCGTATTCTCGGCTGCCTGTAATCTGTTCCTGAGCATGGACAAGGAGTCAGACCAAGAGCTCCTCCTGGTTCCGTTCTACAAGTTTGTGAAAGGAATGATGTCTCTGCCAGTGCATTTCCCAGGGACCCGTTACTACGAGGCGTTGAAAAGCCGGGAGGCAATACTTCGGCTACTGGATCCGGTCATTTCCGCCAGAAAGAAAGAGCTGCTTGCGAATCCCACAGACGACCGGGACATGCTATCGGTTCTCCTCACAACCTGTGACGAAGATGGGAAACTTATATCAGAGAACGAGATAGAAGACAACGTACTATTGATGCTGTTTGCCGGACATGAGACGGTCTTTCGCGCTCTCACGATCACCATGAAGATGCTAACTGACAACCCACACTGGAAAGAGGAGCTCTATCAAGGTACAACTTGTGTTGTTCACTTTTGAGGCTACGACAAGTTTCTCTTTTTCTGGATACAGAGCATTTGGAGATCAGAGCATCTAAAAGCAAACCCGATTACGTACTGGAATGGAATGACCTGAGGAAAATGAAGTTGACATGGTGCTCGGTACAGGAGTCCATGAGGTTGTATCCGCCGTCTCCAGGTGCTACAAGAAAAGCCACACAAGAATTTGAGTACGCTGGATATCGTATTCCAGAGGGATATAAAGTAAGACATCAGTTAATCTTGTAGAAACTTTGCTCACCACTTTTCTTCTCTTTGGTTGAAGCTCATGTGGTCTGTTAACACTTCCCGGATGAAAGACGAGTTCTTTCCGGAACCTCAAAAGTTTGATCCTCTCAGGTTTCAAGGCAATGGCCCAGCTCCTTACGTCTTCACACCGTTTGGAGGAGGGCCTCGGACGTGCCCTGGAAATGAATTTGCAAAGATGGAGATGCTCGTTTTCTTGCATTACCTGCTGCTAAGCCACGACTGGAAGCCTGTGATCACAAATGAAGGTATTATAGTGGAAACAGCGCCTCTGCCGGCCCATGGTTTGCCTGTGAAGCTCAGCAAGAGATGATCGTCAGAATCTATCCATGGAACTTTACCTGACTCTTCAACTATACTGTTAGATTATCTCCGTTGGTAAATAGCTCTGTACATCTTTCCACCTTGGGCGAGCACGGCAATCTCTCGTTCACTGCGAACTCCCAGGGGATTGTCCAGCAGCCAGCCATCTTCTGTGTCTTGCAGAGAAGGCTCGTCAAGCTTTGTAATAACGCCAAGGTGTGTCTCAAACTGGTTTCTCATGTCCACCGCAACCTCCTCTACGTCCGACTCAAGAAAAATCTGCGCAAACAACCTCAGTTTCACGCTTAAATAAATTAGTATTCACGTACTTTTCCACCTACAGCAGTGTATCTGATAATATCATTCACTAGAGCTGGCTGGACGATTCGTCTCTTGCGATGTCGTAGCTTAAAATGCGGATCCGGGCACTGAGGACGAAGCTACATGAGAAACAAACGACAAACAAGAAGCTGGAAAGAATCGTACCAAAATGCATACAAGCTCGAGTCTTCCCGAATAAGTTGGTAGCAACGAGCCAAAAGACACTGTTGCGTTAGCAGTCAGGAAGTGTCTGTCATGAATGGAAGGTGTCAAAAAGCTATTACAAGAGAATCGGACAGCTTACGCATTGACGAGATTCAGCTCCTTGGCCCAAACATTAGCCTTCTCGACCAGCTGCACAACAAGAGATTAAAATTGAAAGAAAAAAAGCGTAAACAAGAACAACCTACCATCCGGCGAACGTCGAGGCCCAGGTAGTTTTTAAAACCGGCATTTTTCTTTGCTAACAGCAGAGAAAATTTGCCCTGTCCTGGCATTACGAGAGTACGAGAATTAGAAGTGCTATAGAAGAAAAGTATGGAGAAGTAGCTATACCACAGCCAATGTCGACCGTTAGAGGCAATGCAGGATCGGCGAAAACATCCTTCCAGTCAGGCAGAGTAAGAGGCTCCTAGAAAAAAGAAAAGAAAAAGGTACCTCATTAGAAACAAATGCCCGTTCCGGGCAAATGCTGAAACAAAACTTCATACCATCAAAGAAGCCTTCATGGGATTGCAGTGTTGCCTCCTCCTCGCGCCCTTCACCTGGAAACGAGCAAGCGATCAAGAGAGGACTTCCAGATCCAACGATCTTGCCTTGGTTCTCAAGAGCTCGAGATCCAGCTCCTTGAATGCATCATCGATGAGCCGGTGAATCAAAACTGGCTGCGGCTGCTTTTGCTGCTCGATCGCAGAGATTCTTGCGCAGTGGCAGCGAGCAGGGCGATCGATCAGCGCCTTGACGCACGGCATCATACCCTAATGTATGTGGAAGAGCAAGAACGGCGAAATCTTGGAGATTCTGGACAGGCACGATCGCCTGGGAACCTCACCCGATCTAGCTGCGCTTCTCAAGAAATGCGGCGATTCCAGGGCGCTCGAGAGCGGCAAGCGCGTCCACCTCTCCCTCGCCAAGGCGGGACGCGATCGAGAAACTCTAGCCGGGAATCTCCTCGTCCAGATGTATGGCAAATGCGGGAGCCCGGAGGACGCGAGGGCGGCGTTCGAAAGAATAAAAGAGCCCGATGCCTATTCGTGGAATATCCTCGTAGAAGCATATGCCCTGAATGGGCATCTGGATATCGCGAAAGAGGTGTTTTCTCACGCGCCCGTTAAGAACGCGGTGTCCTGGAATGGGATGTTAAGAGCATATTCCCGGGTACGGAATCTAGAGGAAACGCGTCACCTTTTTGACGAGATGCCGGAGAGAAACGTGGTGGCGTGGACGTCCATGTTGACCGCATATGCCCAACGAGGGCATATTCTCGAAGCTTATGAAATCTTTGGAAGAATGCCGCAGAGAGACTGCGTTGCTTGGAACGCTATGATCGCGGCATATGCCCAGAATGGGCATTCGCTAGAGGCGCTAGTTTTGTTTAGAGCTATGGCTCTCGAGGGGGAGAGGGCGAACGAAGGCACTTTCTTGGTGGCTCTTGACGCCATCGCGCAGTTAAGAGCTCTGCGAGAGGGTCGAATCATCCACGCCACTGCTCGTGAGATCGGGTTTGATTCGATCGTAGCAGTGGCTAATGCCATCGTCGCGATGTATGGGAAGTGTGGCAGTGTTGAGTCTGCTCTTGGAGCGTTTGCTATGATCGAGCAGAAGGACGTGATCTCGTGGACTGCTATGATCAATGCGTATGCTCAAAATGGGCATTTGGAAGAAGCTCTTCTAATGTCGAAGCTTATGCTCATCGATGGCACTCGACCCAATGAAGTAACGTATCTTTGCGTGCTTGGAGCTTGCTTGGTGCTTCAGGATGGAAGATCACTCCATCACTGCGTTGACGAGCAGGATGCGAATCTAGTGAGTAAGGTTTCTATCGGTACTGCGCTTATTACCATGTATGGGAAGTTTGGATGTGTAGAAGACGCCGAGAGAATCTTTCATAGTATTGTCGATCACAGTGTTGTCTCTTGGACAGCAATGCTCGCAGTGTATGTCGCGAATGGGCATTTTGAGATGGCGTTTCTCTTTTTCAAGTTCATGGATTTGAACGGAATTACTCCAAACAAAGTCACTGCTAGCATTATGATCCAAGCCTGTGCCGATAGACCTTCTTTGTATGAAGGCTCTTTGATCCACTCCAGCATAGACTTTGCGTCTAGCGACGCGATGGTTGTCACAGCACTGGTCGATCTCTATGGCAAATGCGGGAGAGTCGAAGAAGCCATGAAGATCTTCGGCAGTGCCTCTTGCAAGAACGTCCGTTCTTGGACGTCAATGAGCGAGTGCTTTGCTCGGAATGGCTGTGGCAAACAAGCCATTGTTTCATTCCAAACGATGGCTTTGGAAGGAATGGAGCCCGACACGGTGAGCCTGATCAGCATTCTCGCTGGATGCAGCCATGGAGGCTTGCTTCACGATGGGTTGCACTATTTTCTATCGATCACTGGAGACTTCCATTTGACACCGATTGACGATCACTATGCTTGCCTTGTGGATCTTCTAGGACGAGCTGGAAAGCTGGAACTCGTAGAGAACTTGGTGCAAGGCATGGAAGTTACAGGAAATACGAAAGCATTGCGTAACTTTCATGGAGTTCGTCAAGTACATATGCGATGAGATCTCTAGAAAGAGCCAATCAAGACGAGGCAAGAACAGCAATCGGGCTGCGAACACTATGAACTCCATCGCTCCAGATCAATGCCGAGTAGATCCAGGTTGCGTTGGTGTGCCCTGAAGAACTCGCCAAGGTGACCGCCACCTTGAAAGAAAGCTTGGCTCCAGAGCTACCGAAACGCAGCGTCTCGGGTTCCACCACAACCGAGAGCCTGGCATCGCTGGGCTTGTCCACGCTCGCGCGGTAATCCGATGGCGACGATCCCACGCTCGTCAGCGTCCTGGCGACGGTCACTGCGTTGCTGTCTCCAGGATCAAGCCGCGCGATTCCAATGGAGGGATAGTTTAGATCGAAGGTGGAGTTTGTGGAGCACGCAGTGGACTTGTCCCCGGTGATGTTGCGAACTTGGGCCGAGGAGTAGCCCGTGCTACAAAGGTATGAGATGTAGTCCGTGGGTTCTATGTCGTAGACTAGCCCCGGATCGAGCGCTTTTGCTGGCTGGATTTGTCCGGAGCCATAGCTGAAGAGTGTCGCTGGCTCGCCGTAGGATGTTTTGATTGTTTGGTTTGTATTGTCAAGAGTTGTGGCTGCAAAGAACATGATCTTTCTTGTTTCATATCCATTATTTGATTTGTAAGCTTTCGAGATTGGATAGTTTACCTGTTGTCATGAGCGCAGATTTTAGAGCAGCGGGGCTCCAAGATGGATGGACCGACTTTACGAATGCCAGAGCTCCCCCAGCGTGAGGCGTGGACATGGAAGTTCCGGAGAGAAGGGCATAGTCGCTGTAAATGGTACCGCCATTGAATCCTGGAACTGCGATACTACTTGGCCAAGCTGCCAAGATATCAACACCAGGAGCAGTCACGTCCGGCTGATAACAATATACAAACATGAAGAACAAAAGAATAAGAAGACTTGCCTTGATTATATCCGGACTAATCGGGTTTGGCCCTCCCAGTGAAAAGTATCCCATCTCGGGTGCCTTGAAGTTATCACTCTCATTTCTCTTCGATCGATCAAACAAGTTAGACAAAACGTACAAGAAATCACCAACTTTCAAAGCTTGGAGTTACCTTGGCTTTGTCAATGCTCCTGTCAATGGTGCTAGCAGCGATGGTGAAAATCCACGGCGCGGCATTGATCACCTGCATTGTCAAGATACCAAAGTTTCCAGCCCCGGCCGCCACCGCGACGCCCTTCTCCACCGCGTGGTAAGCTCCGATCGCCAACCCATCCAAGCTATACTTCACCGCGGGTCCTCCGATGGAGACGGATATCACGTCCACTCCATCGCCCACCGCGGCGTCATACCCCGCGAGGATGTCCGATTCTTCGCAGCCAATCCCCCAGCAAACCTTGTAGATGGCGAGGCGTGCGAGAGGCACGCCACCCCGGGCGGTTCCTCGAGCCAGGCCTTGCATGCTTGCGTTGCTCACGAGCCTTCCGGTGGCTGTGGAGGCCGTGTGTGTGCCGTGGCCATTGTCGTCCCGGGCATTTCCATACTCTGGCGATTTCACTTTAGAGTTGAAAAACTTTGCTCCAATAAGTTTCCTGTTACAAGGTCCACAGCGGTTTTTTCTTTGTCCAAACTTTGATATTTGTTTTTCTTACCTGTTGCAATGGATGATAAAGGAAGAGTTTATTCCGGGTGGATTCACGCACTCTCCTCTCCAGCGACTTGGAACTGGCGTCATGTCATCGTCTCTAAAGCTTTGAGATTCCGGCCAGATTCCTACAAGGTAAGTCAATATGGTGAGTTTTTTGGTATTTTCACTTCCTTTCTTACCTGTGTCAAGGAGTCCCACAATCACGTCGTAGGAACCCGCAGCTTCATGGTTTTCTTCGTCCGCTACAACCATGGAGTCTGTCAACCCGAGAAAGTCCCATGATCGCGTGGTCTGGATTTGATAAGTTTTGCTGGGATAGATGCTAAGAACTTCTTGTGATCCTGCTCACGAATATCAAAACTCTCGATCCTTTCCGCAAGTTCTAGAGACTTAACTGGACAGTAACTCCGCTTGTTCTTCGTCTAATCTTGCAGAGAAGCCGCTAAACGAGTACCTATAGCTGTGAATCATTGACTCTTTGGCAGAATCCAAGCTGCAATATAAGGTAAGAACTTCCAGATTCACCGTGATTAATTACCTCCCAGTGGCTCTGGAGAGAATCTCATGGTGGCTCTCGCTTAAGCTCTGAGCATCAATCCCTTGGGTTCCTCCCAAATACACAATATAAATCTGCCAGTTTAGACACAAATAAATTAATCACTAGTAAATAATGTTCTCACTTCTTGATTTACAGCAATCCCCACGCTCAAGAAAAACCATACTAGAACATAGAAAATCATGGCTTTGATCATTATGATCAATAAATCAGCCGATCATTTGGATATAAAGCCAATGCTTTTTCTCGTTAAATCCGGTGGACGCCGCTCTCTTTTGTTGGCGAGTGAAAAACCCGCATTTGACACGCATTTTCCAAAGTTAAAAGTTTCCGCACTTTCGCCACAGCCCACCACCCAATTTGCATGCATGGACGCAAGCAATCTCGTATAAAACCATACCACACTCATCCCTCCAAACATCAAATCTAGAGGTTCCAAGTCCTCTCGCTCTCGCGAGTCTTTTTTCTTCTCTTTTTCTCTTCTCCTTTCCTTGTATAGGCGATGGCAGCTCGCGATCAAGCCTCCCGCGCTCTCCAGCAGCAAGATCCCCGCGGAGTGATCCAAGGCCTCCACCACAAATCTCCGTCTTCCAACCGGATGCTGGGCTTCGTGACGCTCATCACGGGAGCGATCGTGACGCTCGTCCTGGGCGGTGTGACCATCGGAGGCGTGGGGATCACGCTCTTGCTCGCCACCCCTGTCTTCCTCCTCTTGAGCCCCGTGCTCGTCCCTCTCGGCATCATGGTGGCTCTCGGGATTGGAGGCTTCTTGCTGGCCAGCACCGTCTTCGTTGGCTTCTGCTCTTTCGTCTCCTGGATCTACAACTATGTCCGCGGCCAGAAGCCTGTTGGAGCTGACAAGATCGACGCTGCCAAGCACCGCATCGCTGATACTGCCTCGCATGTCACGGAGAAGGCCCGGGAAGTGACTGGCTACTTGCAATCCAGGACGCAGGAGGTTGCTCCAGGAGCGTAGAAAGCTCTCCTTTTTTGATCTTCTGTGCCAGTAGAGGAGTTTCTTTTCTGGTTTTTGCTTGCATGGGACGGATCCTTCTTCTTCTAGAGTTGTAGCAGAAATAAATGCGGTAGCGCGATTTTCTTTTGTTCTTTTCTCCTGTTCGTTTGTACCTGGACAATACACAACAAAAGAAACTCTTTATTTCGATCCCAAGGTCTCAAATGAGCAGAGGAGCTCTTACCATTTTATATAGACTCTTGACACGTTGAATTGTCTGCTGTGAAAACATGCCACTTTTGCTGGTTCGTTCCACTTGTCCCCACCATGAAATTTTCTAAGTCAAAGTCTTTGTGAAGTTCTAAAGCCATACGAACACTGGAAAAACGAAAACCAGTATCATATCTGTGATAACATCGGACGTTGGGGAATCGTTGACTTACTCTTCATAGCGTGTTGGAGGAAATCCGATTGAGTACACAAAAAATACGCATGGCTAGTTGTCAATTCCCTGCCGAAGATGAAGATTAAAACAGTCTCACCCACAGTAGACGCTTCTGTAGATGCCGCGACGATGCGATTTGTCGTTGAGCCAGCTCGCCTCTAGTATTTATCCACTCTGCTCGCCAGTAGATTTGTGGATCTGTGTAGGCATTCTGCAGTAGAAGAGTGTAGAGAACTCCAATGGAGAGCAGTACGGTCGTAGTGTTTCCATTACCTGTAATTGGGCACATAACTCCCATGCTTCACTTTGCTGCTCGTCTTGTCTCGCAGGGCCTCAAAGTCACGTTCGTCACCACCAGAAGAACACAATCGAGAGTTCTCCGAGCAATCAGCGAGACTATGCCCGACTCTGCAAGCACACTCAAGTTCGTTAGCATTCCAGATGATCAGTTGGAAGAGCAAGGAGATACCAAGAAAACCGGCATAGAAGCAATCTGGGAGGCGATAGCTCTCATGCACAGTTTGCGAGGAACGTTTGAAAGGCTGCTGAAGGAAATACTCGATCAAGAGCAGCGAGTTGCTTGTCTAGTCTCTGATTTCCTCCTGGATTGGACGGGCGAAGTCGCGGCAAAATTCCATCTTCCGAGAGCTGCCTTTTGGACTTCGAATGCGGCATTCTTGCTGTTAATGATCCATGCGCCAGATTTAGTTTCCAGCGGATGCGTCCCTCTGCGAGGTAAGTGTAAGAGAGTACCTACAGAACGTACTAAGTAGAGTGAACTTACCAGAGGAAACAAAGGACGAGTTCATTCCATATCTCGAAGGAGTTCCACGGCTGCGAGCGAGGGAGCTCCCATTCGCACTCCATGCGGACAGTCCAGCAGATCCTGGTTTCAAACTAAGCCAGAGCTCCATTAGGAACAATCTCAAGGCTTCTTGGGTTGTCACGAATACCTTTGACGAGATAGAGGTGGAAGCCATCGCTGCTCTCCGCCAGTTCGTCGAGCATGAGTTAGTGGTGCTCGGTCCGGTGCTGCCAAGCTCCTCCTCCTCCCTGGAAACAGCCAAAGACACAGGAGTGATACTTAAGTGGCTGAACAACAAGAAGAAAGCTTCGGTGCTCTATATCTCGTTTGGAACGGTGGCGGGGATAGATTCCATGCGCTCGATCGAGGAGCTCGCGAGAGGCTTGGAGGTTAGCGGCATAGATTTTGTTTGGGTGTTTAGAACCAACTTGGTGGAAGACAAAGACGAGGATTTCATGGAAAAGTTCCAGGAGAGAACGAAAGCTCTGGAGAAAGGATTAGTTGTTCCATGGGCACCACAGCTCCAAGTGCTCCAGCACAACGCGGTGGGAGGATTTCTCACGCACTGCGGCTGGAATTCCGTCCTGGAGAGCATCTGGAGCGGAGTTCCAATGCTGGGATGGCCTTGCATGGCCGAGCAGAATCTCAACCAGAAATTCATCACGGACATCTGGAAGATCGGCGTGCCATTCGACGCCGCCATGGACGCTACAGCGATTTCCAGCGCCGTGGTCAAGCTGATGCAGGGAAAAGAGGGCAAATGGGCGAGAAAAAGTGTCGCAAGAATGAGAATCGCCGGTCAACGCGCCCTGGCGCCCGGAGGAACATCCCACAAATCCCTGGAAGAGTTTGTGGAATCTCTCAAGCTGGATCGAGCAGCGTAGCTTCTTTCTCGGATCTAAGGGCTAAATTAAATGCCTGTGACGTACGTACCTCCGCGCAAGTCTCCTTTTTCTAGGGTTCTTGAGATTCCCGCCCAAATACATTTGACTTTTCCCGCGATTTAAGGCTTTTGAATTTAAAATTCGCGCGTAAACCTATTTAAAAATGAGAGCAAGAGGCTTACCAATAGTCACAGCACGAGCATTTACCATTCTCAAAGTGGTGGAATCGACTCGCGTCCCTCATCACGATCTTCCTCTTGGTGATCTTGGCGATGATCTTGGTGGCGGCGTGGCAATCCGCGCAAACTCTCAAGTTCTTGAGCACGAACAGAGGACTTCCATCCGGTGTGCTCATCAATCCAAACATGATGGCCAGCTTCTCGCCGTGATGGAGCAGCATCCTCACTTTCTTCTCCTCCTCCACATCGTAGAGCGCTACTCTCGTGTCCGGCCGATATCCTTCTCGCTGGAGCTCCACAAAGAGCCGATCCAGTCCAGCGTAGATCTCTTCCTTCCTGGCATGGAGCTTGTCATTCGCGGCGAAAGTGTGGATCCGCCCCCTCACTTCGATCCAGCTGAGCCCCGGCTGCTTCTTCACGTTTCGATCCGCCATGACGCTCCTCAGCCTCTCGGCCAGATCGAAGTTCCTGATGCTCGCGTAGATGTTGGCCATGAGCACGTAAGGCGACGAATCCTCCGACATCACCAGCAACCTCTGCGTCGCTCGCTCGCCTCGACCAACGTCGCTGTTCACCCGGCACCCCCCGAGGAGCGATCTCCACGCTCCCTCCTCCGGCTCGAAAGGCATGTTGTTGATCAAAGCCTCGGCCTTGACAAGCTCTCCGGATCGTCCCAGCAGATCCACGACGCAGAGGTAGTGGTACTGCGTCGGGTCAATGCCCCAGTCCTCCTGGATCGAGACCAGCAGCTCCACGCCGGTGTCGAGCAGTCCGGCATGGCTGCAAGCTTGGAGCACCGCCAGGAAAGTGATGGAGTCCGGCTCAAAGCCTTCCAAGCACGACTCCGTGAAACGGTCCACCGCCAAGTCCCCCAGCCCGTTGTGTCCATAGACCGTCATCAAAACGTTCCACGAGGAGATGTCCCGGCTCGGCATGCTCTCGAAGATCTCCTCCGCGGCTTCAAGGTTCCCGGACTTCCCATACATGTTGACGAGAGAGTTCGCCACCTTGAAGCTCGTGAGCAGCAACCCGGCCTCGGAGACTCTCTTGTGGAGCGATCTTCCTTCGGACTGGACCGCGAGGCAGGCGCAGGCGTCGAGAGCCGCAAGGTAAGTGACTTCGTTGCATTTGACGCCTTCCATCTCCAGCCGGTGGAAGACCTCGAGCGCCCCCCGGCCTTGATCGTTCTGGACGTAGGCTGTGATCATCGCGTTCCAGCAAACCAGATCGAGCTTCGGGACCTGCTCGAACACCTGCCTGGCGTCATCGGTGCTTCCACAAGCTCCATACATGCTCAGCAGCGCTGTCGCGACCATCTCGTTCCTTTCCAATCCACTGGAGTGAACGCTGTCGTGGATCTTCTTCCCTTGCTCCAAGTCGAGGCCAGCGGCAAGAACAGCCACAAAAGTCCCCCTGTTGCGCTTGATCCTGGCCGGCTCCATGAGCTGGAAAACCTCCAGAGCTTCGTCAGTATGCCCGGCTTGGGCATACGCGGAGATCATCACGTTCCACGACACGACGTTCTTCACCGGCATTCGATCGAACAGGCTTCTCGCTTCGTCCATCTGTCCGTTCTGAGCATACGCCGCCACCATCGCGGTCCAAGTGACAACGTCGCGATCTTCCGCTCCCTGGAACACGAGCTCGGCTTCTTCCACGCTTCCACACTCCCCAAACATGGTGATCACTGCGTTGGCGACTTTGGCAGACGCTACCAGCAATCCGGTGCTCACCAGGACCGAGTGAATGATCCTGCCTTGGCCGATCGAGCACAACTCGAGGATGTTGATGAAGCTGATCTCGTTTGGCCTGGTACCATCCAAGCTCATTGTCCAGAACAGGATGAACGCCATCCTGCGGTACCCGTTCTGGGCATACGCCGCGATCAAGACGTTCCATGACACTGCGTTTTTCTGCGGTACCTTTGCAAAAATCTGAAACGCCCCGTCGAGCTGACCGTTGTTTGCGTACGCTGCTATCACGGCATTCCAGGAGACCACGTCTCTGTCCGGCATCGCCTTGAAAACAGCCACGGCCCGATCCAAGCAGCCATTCTCGGCGAATGCAGCGATCATGATGTTCCAAGAGAAGAGATCTTTCTTGCGAATGCTGTCAAAGGCGAGGGCGGCGTCGTCGATGCTGCTACACTTCCCGTACATCTGGACGAGAAGATTGCCGAGAAAGGTCTCATTCTCGTAACCGTAGCGTCGGAGATGTTCGTGTACACGTTTCCCATCGACCAAGTTTCTCTCGTTCGCACAGCGTCGGAGAAGAGCCGCGTAAGCTTCGGTATTACTGCAGAACCTCTCCTGTCCGAGATCCTTGTCGTTGTCGGCTAGACCCACTTGAACTGTCAATATCAGAGCCATCCCATCCGCAGATCTCCGAAGATCAAAGCCAGAAGTCGCTTGCCTACACAGATCAGTTAGAGATGTGCATCAAAACCATGTGACTTACCTCTCTTACGGAGTTGTAAAGAAGTCTTCAGCATCAGACTTGTCGGTGTCACTGCTGGCTTCTATTGCTAAGTTTTCGTAGGTGATTAGTTTTCCCTTGTTTGAGTTGTCAGTGTCACTGCCGGCTTCTTTTGCTAAGTTGTCGCAGGCGATAAGTTTTCCGGAGTTTGAATTGTCAGTGTCTATAACGATTGAACTCAGCTTGTCACTGATCTGGCCTTCTAGTTTGTGAGTCTCTGACGGTAGCAATCCCAACAGTGATGCGCACTGGGCTTGGAACGATGCGTCTGTGGAGGACTTAATCAGTCCTGCAATGCATCTAGAGAGGTCTGGAACGCACGACATCATCTGCACAGACGATATGGCTAACAAACGAGAAACGAAGAAAGAAAAAAAAAAATGGAAGCTACCTTGATTGCTTGGGGGCTCGCCAAACGATGAGGCAGTTTTAGTTTCAAGTCATGAAGAGCTCCTTCAATAGCCCGTCTCACCTGTTTCGCTTCACATCTAGCGTTCAATCTCCGTCCAGGTTAAGAAAGCAGTCAAGGATGATATACCAAAATCAAGACGTCTTTCAACAGGATATTTTTCGTGACCTTGTGGAGAACAAGATCAATCGACTCGTGTCTGGAACACTCCCAAGTGATAGTAGCCGTCTCTGTGTCGACAGACTGTACTGGGAGATTAAACTTCATCCAGTCAACCTTCGACAAAAACTGCTGCATCACCGAAGGCATTGGAGTGTACGCAAAGTCTTCGAAGTACATAATCTGCAACACAAGCCCGAGTTTACAAGCGTTTCATTTTAGATTTTACAAACCTTCGTTTTTGAAGACACCGTCGTCAGTGGTTCAGTAATAGCTACACATGCATGTAGACTAGAGCCAATGTTGTCCGAGCCACCCCTTCCAATGTTGACATGTATACCAGCTACACGATCTGCTTCCGAAAGGCGACTATTGTGCAAATAGTGTGCAAAGCCTGTCGCAAGCTCATCAAGCTCCGATGGTTCTTTTGTCAGGACTTCTCGACTCTGGTAAGTGTCGCGCTCGCCTCGACAATTAACGTAGTGCCATTCCAGGAACACTTCGATAATTGGAAGGGAAAACTGAAAGAGAAACCTGGTAAGCTCAAGAAAAGTATATCATCGATAGTTTTACTGACCTTCTCCAGCAAATTCCTGAAGTATGACACCGTTTCCAGCGTCGGGCCTTCAATGTCCATTGACACTAGCGTTCTGAAATTTCCAATGCTAAAGGCGTCGAATCATTTTCTGTGAGGACTTACCTCTTTTCTCTCCATTGCGGTCGGAGTTCTAGAATCTGGAGGCCGCTAGCGTCGGTGAATCGCAATTGGTAGTTACGCATTTTCTTCTCGATGGGATCTGGCAAGAAAAAGAATCCAATGCTTGACACTTGAATGACTGTATAGATCATACCCGGGGTGGAAACCTCGAGCACTCTATCTGGAACAAAGAAAAAATAATGAAAATAGTGACAATTAGAGCACCAACGTTCTTACCCCAGAGAATTTCAGCATGATCCAAGATAGGAGGATTCGCAACAACGAGGTGGCAAAAATCATCCATCGCTTTGCCAGTAACGCTGAGACCAGTATCCGAGACTGCAAGATCATCGCTCAATACAGCGAAAACAAGAAGAAGAAAAAAAGAGGAATTAAGAACCAGAGAAGCTGAATTTGGAGCGATTCACGCCATCGCAAGCATCGATGCAAGAAAGAGTGACCGAAATCAAAGCTCCAGGATTGCTCGCACTCCGGCATCGAGAAATAGCGCTCGCGATCACCTACATTTGCAAGAAAGACGCGATCGATCGATATGCGCGTTGGCCATCTCAATCCGATGATGATCCTGGGGCAGGCGCGATGAGCTTACCGCTTGCATCGGCGCTGGCGCCTCAAACACCGCCATCGCCAAAACGCTCTCTCTCTCTCTCCAAATTTCCTAAACCCTAGGGCGGGAAGAACACTCAAACAAAATGGCTATGGAAGATAACGCTGCGATCATCGCCATTGAAGAGCAGCGCGAATGAGGAATCTAGCAAGAGTAGATCACTACGCCTCTCTCGCGAGGGAGTGCAAGGATTTAGAACAGGCCTGGGGGATTCACTCGTCGGTGGTAGCGGCCGGAGGAGCGATCCTTCGCGATCGTTACCTCTCCAATCTCCTGATCGAGATGTTTGGGCGGTGTGGCAGCATCGAGGACGCGCAGCGCGTCTTCAGCCGGATCGATCAGCCCAACATCTTCTCGTGGAATCTGATGCTCGGCGCTTATGCCCACGCCGGGGATGTGAAGAACGCCCAGCTCTTCTTCGATCGAATGCCCCAGAGGGACGTCGTCTCCTGGAATTCCCTTCTCGCAGCGTATGCCCGAGAGGGGCTCTTGGATCAATGCTGGAAGATCTTCGAGCGAGCTCCACAGCGCAACGCGGTCTCGTGGGCATCGATCGTCTCGATGCTCGTCAAGAACAGGCGATTCCCAGAGGCAGTGGATTGGTTCCTTCGGATGGACGTGGAGGGATTTAGGCCGAGTGGGCGATGCTTTGTGAGCCTGCTAGAGGCTTGCACAGCTCTTGGGGATCCAAAGCTTGGAGGATTGATCCACGAGGAAACCATCGCGAGTGGATTTGCCGCGAGGAATGTGGTGGTGGCGAGCGCTCTTATCAGAATGTATGGGGAGTTTGGGAATTTGTATCACGCAGAGGCAGTGTTTTGGAGAATGGAGGACGTGAATTTGGTGGCTATGACTTCCATGGTTATAGCTTATGCCCAATCCGGGCATATTGACGAGGCCAAGAATTTGTTCGCAAAGATCAAGAAGCCGGATGTTATCGCTTGGACGTCTATGATCACTGCGTATGGTGACGAGGGCGATATAAACGGAGCTAAGAAAATCTTTGATAAGATGCTCGTAAAGAATGTAGTGTCGTGGAACGCTCTTGTAACAGCATATGCCCAGAACGGGTATCTTGTTCAAGCAAGACAACTTTTTGATCAAATGGCTTTTCGAGATAGCACAACTTGGTTTCTAATGCTCACAACTTACACCAAGATCTTGCTTTTAGCGGAGGCTTTTGATATCTTTGCACAAATGCCGAAGGAGAACTTAATAGCCTGGAACTCTCTTCTTGCTGCATATGCCCAAGCCGGGCATGCAGAATCTGCAATTGGGTTTTTCAAGCTTATGGTACTTGAGGGAATTTCTTGCAACGAAGTTACATTTGTGATCGTTCTTGATGCCTGTGCTAGCATTCCAGATCTGAAACTCGGAAAAGCTCTTGACGAGGTGGTGTTGGGCTGTGGGCTTGAGTCAAATGCTACCATTGGGACCAGTTTGATCGATATGTATAAACGATGCGGGAGCTTAGCGGGTGCTCGCAAGGCCTTTGCCAGAGTTTCCAAGCCCGACGTTATATGCTGGACGTCTCTCATGCTTGCGTATGCCCAAGCCGGGCATACCAAAGAGCCACTGGAGCTCTTCTGGGCGATGTGTAACGATGGTGTCGGACCAAACGAAGTAACGCTAGCGGGGGTTTTGTATGCGTGTTGTCACTCTGGAAAGCTGGAGGAGAGCAAGGCTTACTTTTCCTCGATCGAGCAGGACTTTGGCTTGATCCACACGGTGGATCACTTCGTTTGCTTGGTTGATATGCTAGGAAGATCTGGAAGGCTGGACGACGCCGAGGAGATGGTTAGAGCTGTGGGTTTGGAGTCGGAGATGGTGGCTTGGGTGGCACTGCTTGCTGCTTGCAAGCTTCATGGCGATGGCGAGAGAGCTCGCCGGATCGCTGAAAGCGTGTTTAGGATGGAGACGAAGGAAGAATCGCCATATCTTTTGCTTGCAAACGTTTGCTCTGATCAAGGGCAACGTATGGCTTTGCAGAAACTCCCTGTATCTTCCTGATTGTATGATCTGGATGAATCATTGGGAATGTAGTACAAGCAAAAGAATTTTATTCTTCAACTTTCTTATCAACAACAAAAGGGGGACGATGAACAAAAACCATCGATACAGAACGATCTCATTCTCACTCCTTTTTTCAAGATGATCAAGCACCTGGAGCAGCCTCTGGAACTCTAGATTGCAAATACCCCGTCACCTCGCGAGCCTTCTCGGTTACATGGCTAGCAGTGTCGGCAATCCTGTGCTTGGCAGCGTCGATTTGATCGGCTCCCACGGGATGCCTGCCGCGAGCGTAGTTGTAGAGCCAAGATACCACGGAGCAAAATCCCACAAACACGGCGCTGGCCGAGAGAAATCCGCCTGTAGCGAGCGCGATGACGATGCCAATGGGGACGAGAACCGGGCTAAGGAGGAGAAAAACCGGCGATGCGAGGAGCAGAGTTAAGACAGTTCCTCCCAGCGTGACGCCGCCGATGACGAGCGCCACCACCACTCCAGTGATGATTGTCAAGAGCCCCAACACCTGCTTGGAATTGGGCGATCGCTCCTGGATCTTCTGCATCATGCCCCGGGCCTGCTCTTGCGCGCGGCCAGCGTGCTCGCGAGCTCGATCCGTCGCTCGATCCGCCATGGCAGCCCAAGTTATTTCTCCTCGCGGGCGTGAAAAACGAAACCGATCGATCGACTCGACGATCCAACCGGAGCTCCAAGAAAAGAAACTTTGCTCCATTTCTTAAATACGAGCCTTGCATGCATGCAGTGCGAAGGGCGCGGCGACACTTGGTCCGCGCCATGCGGGGTTTGACTTGAGTTGACTGTCAGTCAGCGCCAGTCAACGGGCGAGTGATTCGAGCGTTATGCTCCAGATTCGCGCTCGATCCTGTCAGGAATCAACGTCAGTTCTTCACCGCCCGTGTAAAACCGACCGGGTAAGGTAAAAACAAATGGAGAATGAAATGTTTGGAGAACTGGAGTGGTGGGTGGATAATGCCAGGGGCCAAAAAATCATGCAAGGAAATCGCTCCCCTTTTATTTCTTTTTTGCCATTTTTGTCAAAATGTGGCAGTTTCTAAACGCGAGAATGAGCCAAATGGCCCAAGAAAATCTCCAAACAAATCTTTTTTAAGTTTTGAGAGCTTCTTGTTCTTGGCGAGAGCGCGAGAGAGAGCGAGCGCGAGAGAGCATCGCAAGAACAAGTCTTTCTCTTCATTCCTCTTCCTCTCGGATCGCGATTGTCGCCATGGGCGATCACCACCAGGCCTCGAGAGCCGTGGACAAGACCAAGGATCAAGCCAAGGATCAGGCCGGGCGCATCCAAGAACACTCGCGCGGCCTGGTGGAGCGCGTCAAGGAGCACGCGCCCAGCTCCCAGCAGCTCATCGGGATCGCGACGCTGGCTCTTGGCGGCCTCACGCTGGCTGCCATGGGGGGCGCCATGATCCTGGCCACCATCGTCTTCCTCGTCATCGGCACTCCAATCTTCCTGCTCTTCAGCCCCATCCTCGTGCCGCTGGGAATTCTCGCCATCGTCGTCACCGGCGGGATCCTCTCCACCATCGCCTTCGTCGCCTCTTGCGTCGCGGCCGTCACCTGGATCTACAAGTACGCGAAAGGGCGGCATCCGGTGGGCACCGATCAGATCGAAGCGGCGCGGCATCGCCTCATGGACACCGCCACACAGATGACCGAGAAGGCGCGCGAGTATGGATCCAATGTCACAGGCTACCTCCAGCAGAAATCCCAGGACGTCGCCCCAGGCGCGTGATCTTATCGAAGAAGGTATTGGAAGATTTCTTGTCTACAAGTCGTTGGTCTCGCTTTGTTCTTGGAGGTATCCATCCTTCGTGTTCTTCGTGTTCTTGAGGAGCACGAAGGATCTCTTTGATTCCTGGAATAAATGCCTTGCTTTTCCCCTTTCAGCTGATAGAAATTTTAGGGTTTAGGGTTTCTTTGTGAGAGGGAAATATTTTGGCTATGGCGGACGGGGAGGAAGGCGCCGAGGACTGGACCGATCCCTCGATCGCGTCTTCCGCGGAGGTCAGCGATGCCGGATTGCTGCAGCGCGCCTGGCGCAACGAGAAGCTCTCGCCTGAGCTTCTGCCGTTCCAGGGCGAGCTCGTGGAGCGCGTCAAGGAGCAGATTCTTCTCGAGGTATCATCCTTTGGTACTACATTCTCGATCTCCAGCCTTTGAATCTTCGCTAGGAGGAAAATCTCGCGGCTTTTGTCGAAGAATCTTGTGACGAGCTTACTGTGTCGCTCTACCGGATGGATTTGGACCGAACGCTCTTTATGCTGCGATCTTATTTGCGAGCACGGCTACTCAAGGTTCGCATTTCTGCTTTGCCTTTTCTTTGTTTCCATAGAATCGTTCCTCGGATTAGTTTAGTTGGTGTTTTTTTTTTTTCTTTTCATCTGATGTTGGAATCGTTTGTTACCAGATTGAGAAGTTTGCTCTCCATATACTGACTGTACCGGAGATTTGGGAGAGGTTGTCGAGCCAAGAACAAGACTATGCTCAGAGGTACGCGAGAAAACCCTTACTGTTTGTGACGACTCGATAATTATCTCCAGGTTTGCCGACACGCTGCAAGCTCATTTTGATTCTTCTGTCCTGAGTAAGCTCCCGGAAGGATACAAGTCGATGCTAAAACAGGCAAACTCGAGTAACGAAAACGATATGAGTAAGCTGTGTGCTTTTCATTCTTATCTTGAAGCTAACGGCGACTTTACATAGTTGTTGAGCCTCCTCTCGACAGTTTTGTATTCTGCAAATGCCGGAGACCTATAAGTGCGTTTCAACTTGATGACAAGTAAGTTCCGGGTTTCATCATTTACATTCGCGTGTCGGGTTTAATGAACGAGTAAAATGCTCCAGGGGCGAAAGTATAGTGGATATGGAGAATGGGGACTTGTACATCTTCAACTACAAGCCAATCAAGCGGCTCTTGGAGACGGACAGGATAGAGCTCTTCTAGAAAAAAGTTGCTGTTTCAAACGTTGCCGTCCAAGAGCAACAAGAAAGAAAAATTGAGTTGGAATCGAGCCCTTCGTGCACGGACAAAGACAAGCCCCACCGCAGGTTCGGCCTTTCCTATTCTTCTTTTCATTCTCTAGTCTTAGACGATCAGCACAGCAGTTGCTTTTTCGGAGTCCAATGAAAAGAATGGGGGCCCCTTGAGACCCGCTGACCATGGTTTCATTTTCAGATTCAAAGTAATGTACAAGCCAAGACGCTAAGTTAAAGAGACTTTGAGCGTATATGAGGTACCTTTCAGTGTGTCCATGTCTGTCTTTTATTTCGCGGCTTCCAAGACGAAGCTCGAATCAAACAAGGGAGGGGACAAGCTGTTTGATCGTGCCGCTCCCGATTAGATTAGCAGGAGGCGCCCGCAAGCTCGGCCTAAATTCCCGGTTTGACTCTACACTCTTCAAGAGGTAATGTTTGAATCATCCTCTCTGATATATCTTCTCTTTTTACAAGCACAGTGAAGGAGAAAAGATGTAACTTGTTCCACTCGGTTGGGTGTCATGGCGCTAGCTGGCCGGTTCCATATCCTGTTCGCAGCTCCCGAAAGGAGAGAAAGAGAGGTAAGCATGCTCTTTTTGCTCGATGCGGTCACGGAAGGAGCAGAGTCTTTGGCAGTGCAAGCTCCATCTCTGGGGCTTTCACGGGTGGCATGCGCGCTTTTGCCAGGCGATAGAGAACCAGGTGGACGGGGGAAATGATATCTCATTCGATTCCAGCGTCCCAGCGATCCAGCTTCCCTCGGTGACCGTGACAACAGGTCGATCCTCCACAGTATGCTGTGCCTGGCACAGTGAAGATTCATCCAAGCGCGTTTTGGGAATATCTCTCGCTTTATTCACTCACTCGACTAGTTGCTCTTCCGGGTGGAGTGGAGATATTTGGCCAAAGTTCTTCATAGCTTCTCCTTTATGCTTGAATTGGCGATGGATGTTTCTTACAGTGGATGTGCTTTTGGTCCACAGCACCATTACAAACTGTCGTTGTTCTTGGAATGTCACATTGTAGAAAATAAAATGGAAAAATTAAAAATCTCTTGTTTTGTTTGTTCTTGATGTTTTCTTTGTTTATTACCCTTTGTTTTTATGTTTAGTATTTTCACCTCACATTGTCTTGCCTCCCCAAAAACAGCCTGTGCTGGGAGGAGGAGGTGAAAGAAGAAAGGTTGAGTAGCAAAACACACACACTCTTCTCTTCACTACTCTAGTACACATATCACACTGCTGATGATTGCTTGGATTGGTTCTCATTTGATTTTTTTCTCTCCAGCATTGCTGCTCCAGATGAAGAAGATGAGGAAATTCACGGCTCTTTTCCAAATCTTTGCTGCAATTCAGCTGCTCCTGGCAATTGGAGTGGCTGGAGCCAAGCAGGTAGCTCTCAATTCCCACACCAGATCCATCTTGACAGCTCTGATTTGTTTCAAGGTTCACATTGTCTACATGGGAGAAACAGGGGGCATTCATCCAGACGCGCTCGTTTCCACACACCATGACATGCTAGCCTCTGCAATGGGAAGGTAGCTGCAAAGCTCAAATCAAGACAAAGCTTCTCTTCTCTTCTTTTCTTCTCTCTTTTGCAAAGCACACAAGCTTTTCCTTCCTTCCTCTGGCCAAATCTTTTTCCCTTTCTTTTGCAGTGTTGACATTGCCAAGGAAACCATCCTCTACAGCTACAGGCATGGATTCAACGGCTTTGCTGCAACACTGTCCAAGCGCCAAGCCGAGCAAATCTCGAGTAAACTCCCTCCTCCTCGGTTGCAAATCTCAACTTTTGTGACGAAACCAATGCTCTCTCTTTGCTGCGCAGACATGCCCAGAGTCATCTCTGTCTTCCCGAGCTCGAGGAGGCGGCTGCACACGACGCGGTCCTGGGAGTTCCTGGGCCTCACGGGAGACTCGGCCGACGCTGTCACTGGGTCGCCCGCTAGCTCCGGAGAGAATATATGGCAGCGCGCGAAATTTGGCAGGGACATCATCATTGGCCTCCTCGACACCGGTCAGTAGTAGTACCACTTCTGGAACTCAAACAGCCAGCATTCGTCCAGTCCAGGCATTCCTGTTCATAAATGATAGAAACGCCAAAGTCTTAGAACCAAGAGGAGGAAAAGCACGGCAATTAATACCTCTTTTTTTTTGTTTTTTTTTTTTCTTGTTTCCTTTTCTTGCAGGAATCTGGCCGGAGTCTCAGAGCTTCGATGACGATCTCTTGTCCGAAATCCCGAGCAAGTGGAAGGGAGTATGCGAACATGGCGATCACTTCAACGCTTCCAGCTGCAATAAGTAAGTTCCCCAATACCTGCCGTGATTTTCCAAAGTTGTTGGCTGCTACCGTTCCACTGTTCCCCATAATCTTCATTCTCTTATCCCTGTGCTCTTCGAGTTTACGTTGATGCTGCCTTTGACTACGTTGTCATCTCCATCTGACACTGTTGATCCCGTTGTCTCCTGTGATCTCCCAACAGAAAGTTGATCGGAGCTCGCTTTTACCTCAAAGGATACGAGAAATTCTACGGCAAGCTCAACCTCACTGCCACTGAAGAGTTCCGGTCGGCTCGCGACAAAGATGGTCACGGGACTCACACCGCTTCCACCGCCGGAGGCAGCTTTGTCCCGGGAGCCAACGTCTTTGGATTCGCAAACGGGACTGCCAAAGGTGGCGCGCCTCTCGCCAGAATCGCCATGTACAAAGTCTGCTGGCCGATTCCATCCGGGAGCCTGAGCGGTCAGGACAGTTGCTTCGACGAGGACATGCTGGCAGCTCTCGACCAAGGTATCAAGGACGGCGTCGATGTCTTCTCCATCTCAATCGGCTCCGGAAATCCCCAGCCGGCTTACTTGGAGGACTCCATCGCCATCGGAGCTTTCCACGCCATCAAGCGCAACATCCTCGTCTCATGTTCCGCTGGAAACAGCGGGCCTACTAGCGCCACTGTTGCCAACGTCTCCCCCTGGATACTCACTGTCGCGGCCAGCAGTTTGGACAGGGATTTCCCGTCCAACGTCGTACTCGGGGACGGAACAACGCTGCAGGTGTGGTTGCTGGATTTTTCCCGGCTCGTCGTCTCGTCGCGATTAGCTCGTCTGTCGCCATCCTCACAGCGGGGTATCCATTTTTGCAGGGGAAGAGTATTGCTCCGAAGTCACTGTCGGAATCGAACTGGTACGAGCTCATCGATGGCGGAAGAGCTGGCAACTCCAGCGTACCTGTCGTGAATGCCAGGTAAAGTTTCTCTCCCACCAGCACACGACTAAAGTTCCTTACTTGTTCCAGCCAGTGCCTTCCGGATACTTTGGACGCATCCAAGGTTGCCGGCAGGGTGGTGATCTGCTTGAGAGGACTCGGGACCCGCGTCGGGAAGAGTCAAGAGGCCATTCGAGCCGGCGCCGCGGGATTTATCCTCGGAAACTCTGCTGCTCAGGCTAATGAAGTCTCGGTCGACGCATACATGCTGCCGGGGACTGCCATCAACGCGGACAATGCCAACGCTGTCCTTACCTACATAAACTCCACGAAGTAAGTGAAGAGTTTCTCTCTGCAAGACAAACCAGACTCACCTTATCTTCGACAAAATGGCAGCTTCCCCCTGGTGAAGATTGTCCCGGCAAGGACAGTGCTCGACTTCAAGCCGGCCCCTTCCATGGCAGCGTTTTCGTCCCAAGGACCGAACTCTCTTAATCCCGACATCTTGAAAGTAAGTCGTCGCCTTGATAGACTCGGTTTCTTGACAACGAGACCTTTTCTTCTTTCGTCAGCCGGACATATCAGCGCCAGGACTGAACATTCTAGCAGCCTGGACCGAAGCAAACTCTCCCACCAAATTGCCCATCGACAACCGGATAGTCAAGTACAACATCATCTCGGGAACTTCCATGTCATGCCCCCACGTCGCAGGAACCGCAGCTCTTCTGAGAGCGATCTATCCTTCCTGGAGCCCCGCGGCTATCAAATCCGCCCTCATGACCACCGGTAAGCAGCACCTTCGCCATTAAAGCCTTGCCAACCGCGTGTCGCTGTCCATTTTTTTCCTACAGCTTCGATTGTCAACAACTTGCAGCAGCCAATCTTGAACGGCTCCGGTGCCACTGCCAATCCTTTCAACTTTGGCGGTGGCGAGATGAATCCGGAAGCAGCGGCGGATCCTGGCCTCGTCTACGACACATCTCCACGGGACTATCTCCTGTTCCTGTGCAGCGTCGGATACAACAGCTCCACCATCCAAAACGTAACGGACACGGCCAACTTTACGTGCCCGAACACTCTCTCGTCCATCTCTGACATGAACTATCCGTCGGTAGCAGTAGCCAACCTCACCGCAGCCAAGACCATCCAAAGAACTGTCACGAACGTCGGGTCCCAAGACACGGCCGTCTACATAGCTTCCTTCCAGGCCCCGGACGGCATCGACATCGTGATCACTCCCAACAAGCTTACGTTCCAGTCGCTAGGCGAGAAGAAGAGCTTCAACATCACTCTGACCCCGACGAAGAGGTCCAAAGGCGACTACGTGTTTGGAACGTACCAATGGAGCGACGGGATGCACGTAGTGAGAAGCCCAATCGCTGTTCGAACAACTTCATGACCACCACGGTTCTTACGATGTAATTCCATCCTGGAAAGAGCTCAAAATCAGAAACACAGGATGAAAAGGAAAAACAAGACCAACCTTGCCGCGTAGTAACTCCATCCAAGAGAGAATCAAACGTTGTTTTGAGCGAAGAACATCGCAAAGAAACTAACACAGATGGACGAGAAAGATACAAAACTTGATGGAGAAAAACAAGTACTATACAAAGCTTTCCAAGTTATTTCCACTCACGAATGCTTAGTTAGAAGATGATGAGGAGCGCGAAGGCCATATAGATGATCAAACAAGCATACGCAATGAGACGCTTCTGCTCCTCCGAGTGAGGAGACAAAACCACGAGCAAGCTCGTACACGACCACGTACACCAAAGAACTATCAACCCGGCCATGACGTAGATGGGAGCACCCTGTCGAGGAACTAGAAGAGAAAGAGCCGAGAAGAGGATCATCGGGAGCAAACTATACCCGACGAGGCTAAAGCTTCGATAGAGATCTAGCGTCCCACGAGTTCCCGATAAAAGATTAGCGACAGTGTAGAGAAACCCAGAAGCCAGAGATCCCCACCCGAGGATCACTCCAAAGTGGAGCTTCCCAGCCAGGAGCTGGCAAAGCCCAAAGAGAATGCAGAACAAAAACGGCCCCGAGAGATCGGCATCCTCGTGGAGGTTAAGGTTCCTCCTGAAAGGAATGAGCACCGACTTGGTCTTCTGCAAGATCTGCGATGGATTGATCCCCAGCTCCTCCAGGAGAGGAGGCTCGTCCTCAAACGCGGCGCCAAAGCCTGTGGAGGCGGAGGAGGAGGAGGAGTATCCCGGCTGCTGGAGAGGCGCCGATCCGCCATACCCTGAGTTGCCGATGTCGAAGGAGAGGAAGGGCAAACCTGGCGTCGGAGGCATCGGCCGCATTGGCGCTTGCGGCTGCTGCTGGGGCACGAAGGGGACTTGCTGGTGCTGCTGCGGTGGAATCCCTGGCGCCCTTCTCTGCGCCATCGCTGCTCAAGAACCCTAAATCTATAGCCCTAAAAAGAATATTAGGTTTACCTTAAAGGTGGTTTATAATAACATCATGCATGGAATCACAACTTTATCTTAGTGTCTATGGTAGTGCTGAGTTCCAATCACGAGAAATCACGGGCAATTAGGGCTTAGCAAATGATGATGCGATCATGACGCGGGCAAAGCTCCAGATTGCCTGGTCAATTCCGGTCTGTCTTGGTTTCTTTCTTGGCCTTTAGTCCACCTTCGTGCCTCTCACGAGGAGCATTCCTTCCTGTGGTGTCCTATTTGAGCGCTTGTTCCAGCGCCACCAAGCCCAAATCACCACTTGGGTACTCCCCAGCCGTCTAGATCTCACCTGGGTTCCAATCCAGATCACAAATCTCCTCGCCTCCTCCGAGATCAAAGCGCTGCGAATGGCGGGTGCTAGCAAGAAGCCTCATGTTCTAGCGTTCCCATTCCCAATCCCGGGCCACACGAATTCGCTCATGCACTTCTGCCGTCGCCTCGCGGCCTGCGATGTCACCATCACCTACGCCTCCAATCCGAGCAACATGAAGCTCATGCACCAGACGCGCGATCTGATTGCAGACCCCCACGCCAAGAGCAACGTCCGCATCGTCGAGGTCTCGGACGATCCAGGTAACAGCATGCGCAGCAGCAACGATCTCGCCAAGGGGGATCCCAGCGAGAACCTCGAGAAGCCAATCGTGGCGGTACGCGCCATGGCAGCCTCTGTGCGAGAGCTTATCCGGAAGCTCCAGGAGGACGGGAACCCCGTTTGCTGCATGATCACGGACACCTTCAACGGATTCACCCAGGATCTGGCGGACGAATTCGGCATCCCCAGGGCGGTGTTCTGGACCTCCAATGCGATCAGCGACATCTATCACCTCTTCCTGCCGGAGCTCATGTCCAAAGGATTCGTGCCAGTCGCGAGTAAGTTCTCCCCCCCCCTGTTTTTAGGGTTCTAAGGAAACTCTTCTTCTTCCAGCCAGGAAAACGGACGAGCTCATCACATTCCTGCCTGGCTGCCCGCCAATGCCCGCCACGGATCTGCCGCTCTCCTTCTACTACGATCACCCAATCCTGGGCATGGTCTGCGACGGCGCGTCGCGGTTCGCGGAGGCGAGATTCGCTCTGTGCAACACCTACGAGGAGCTGGAGCCACACGCAGTGGCGACGCTGCGCAGCGAGATGAAATCCAGCTACTTCCCCGTCGGCCCGTGCCTGTCCCCGGCATTCTTCGCGGGGGAATCCACCGCGGTGGGGCGATCCAGCGAGCTCCTGTCTCCCGAGGATCTGGCGTGCCTGGAGTGGCTCGACACACAGAAGGAATCCTCCGTGATCTACGTCTCCTTCGGCAGCGTGGCCACCATGTCCGTGGAGCAATTCCAGGAGCTCGCCAGGGGCCTGGAGCGCAGCAACCAGCCATTCGTACTGGTGCTGCGCAAGACCCTCGTCGCGGATCCATCGGTTCACGATTTCTTCGAGGGATTGAAGCAGCGGATTGGCAAGCGCGGGATCGTGATCTCGTGGGCGCCACAAATGCACGTCTTGCTCCACCCGGCGGTGGGAGGATTCCTGACGCACTGCGGATGGAACTCGACCGTGGAGGGGATCTGCGCGGGCGTGCCGATGCTCGCCTGGCCTTGCATGGCGGAGCAAAACGTGAACTGCAAGGAGCTTGTGGAGCACTGGAAGCTGGCGATCCCGGTCCAGGATGATCGGGATAAAAGCTCCACGGTCTCGGTCTCGAGCGAGAGGATCGCAGATCTAGTGGTGAGGCTGATGAGAGGCGACGAGGGTCGCGAGATGCGAGCCCGGGCTCGGGAATTCCGCGAGGCTACCGCGGCTGCCATAGCCGAGGGAGGATCCTCGGACAGGAACCTCAAGGCCTTTGCCCAAGCTCTGAGAGATTTCGTGTGATCTCTTGGAGGCTAACAACCATTATGTAAAGTCAATATTTCGAAGATTAGAATCAATCAATGGGTCGTGATTCATGGGCCTACATTTCTGCAAGTCCTTACAGACAAGAGAATCTGACACACTCCACTCATGAACTTTTGGTTTGAGAAACTAAAAAAGTTTAAGAATCAACATTTCTAGAACCAAATATACTAGCATATTCTAAGCTCAAAAAGTCTTTCACGTTGCCGTCACCTTTTTTCATTAGGGTTTAACTTTCTTCAAGTTTCAAATGCACCGCTCACCGTCCTCACCAAATCTTCCCCGGCCACATGTTTTTTCATTCTTACAGCCTAGCATTTTTCCTCGACGTCCTGCCCAAGCGCATCAAAGGGTTTAGTATAATTTTGATTGATTCTGTCTGGAAATCTTGCAAGCAGCGCACAACAAAAGGAACCCCGATTCTTCGCTGGAAGCAAGAGGTCTCGTTACAACACATACCCAAGACACCTGATTGTGATGCTCCCGTCACTCTCCGCCTCCATGTGAGAATGATCTGTTAATTCTGTTTATCTCCTCTGGGACGGGATGATTCTCCGGGAAAGGATCTCAGAAAGGCGTGCCGCAATTGCCAACTCCAAGAATGTGAAAATCCCTCTCTTCAAGAGGGATTGCACTGCCACCACGCACCCTCTGAGCTTTGAAATGAATAAAAATCTTAATGTAATTCCAATCAAAGTCATCAGTTCAGTCAGGCTGTCGTGGCAATGAAATTATTTTTTCCATTCAAAAAAGGTATAGCATGACAGTCATCGGTCAAATGACGGACAAACGGATGAGGGTGCAAAAAGGTCAGTAATGAAGTGAAGATTTCTTTTGCTCAAACTTTTCACAGCCCTAAAACAGCCTACTTTGAAACCTGTGTGATGGAGCAGCAATTGCACGCAGATGTCATTGCAGGGCCCCTCGGGGAGTCCGTACTTGTGCGCAGCTTTGCAACAAATCACTCCAAGATGCAAAAGACGATGCCACTGGTGAAAACATAAGCAGTTGATGGTATGCAGCTCCTTTGCAGGCCATGCCTGTCCCATTTAAATCCAAGATGAGCTATTGATTTAAAGATCTGGCAGCAAAAAATTACCTGCCTTGGTCCACAATGTTGGCCATGCGCCAACAAAGCACACACCGACTGTGGTATAAAAGATTGTGAGAAGAAAATAAATATGGCTCGATCAACTAAAAGACTTACAAGAGGGGCAATCCTCTGTGCAGGAGGCCAGAATTCGGGGGAGCTCCGGGTCCGTAATTACCTGGTTGAGGTTGGGATAAGCAGCGGGACGGCCTTCGTTGGTGAATCCCTTCTGCTGCTTGCTGCGTGTAAGTGTATAAGTGAAGGCCATGGTGATGTTGTGCTTGATAAGGAATGATCGATCGATCAATCTGTTGAGAGTCGGAAGGAGAGAGAGGGAAGGCAATCTGGTCACAAAAGACACTTGAGTCTTTCTTATGGACACAATAGTTCTCAGGCCACTTCCACCGTCTTCCAAGCGACCAGCTTCCTTCAAGCCGATGCTTCGAGCTCCATGGATGCTCCCTTAACATGTTTTAATTTAATGCGCTGTCACTAAGGAAGGGAGGGCTAACGAGCTTCTCGTCATTCAATCCGCTTCTCTCGCAGGTGTTTAGACGCAAACTTACACCCTTTGCCTTGGCAAAAGCAGCGAGACACTATCCTCTTGCCGGAGATTTAGCAGGAGAGCAGCGACACGGCATGGTGCTTCATGCAGTCGCCAAGTGGTCGGGTGCATGTAAGTTCTAGGTCTTTGTTGCCTTTGCAATTCTTTTTCTGTTGTTTCTGAGCAATGGCTACTTCTCCAACACTTATGGGTAGCAGATTCCTGAGCCATTGCAGGTGGTGGAATTCGATGCTGGAGAGCATGAGCGCTGGGGTGGAGCGGAGAATGGAGCTGGTGGACAGATCGTGCAGTGGCATGGTGAGGGATGGAGCTGAGGAGGGAGCTTGGGCGCTTGGGAATTAGGTAGGCCATTAAAAATTATTTGGTATGGAAGGTCTTTCTCTTTTGTTACTTTAATCATGGCTACCAATTTATACTATTCCAAAAAAAAACCAATTCCGTTTCCGGGAATTGAACCCGGGTCTCTCGGGTGAGAGCCGAGTATCCTGACCGACTAGACTACAACGGATGACTTGCTTGTTACTCTTCTTTTATTTAAATTGAATGATTTTAGCTAACTACATTAAGATTTTTATTCATTTCAAAGCTCAGAGGGTGCGTGGTGGCGATGGAATGCCTCTTGAAGAGAGGGATTTTCACATTCTTGGAGCTTGCAATTGCGGCACGCCTCGCTGCAATCCTTTCCCGGAGAATCATCCCGTCCTAGACAAGAAATTTGTGATATTTTATCCTCCAAGATTTTCAGGGATCCAGTGGCGAGGAGATAAAAGGATTTAACAGAACATTCTCACATGGCTGATGCACGGCTCCGGAGGCGGACAGTGAACGGGAGCATCACAATCAGGTGGCTCGGGAATGTGTTGTAACGCAACCTCTTGCTTCCAGCCAAGAATTGGTGGTTCCTTTTGTTGTGCGCTGCCTGCAAGTTTTCCAGAGAGAATCAATCAAGACAAAACCTGGAGGCATCACAAATTATACTTAACTCCTTGTGGCACTTGGGCAGGACGTCGAGGAAAAGTGCTGGGCAGCACCATGGATAAGAATGAAAATACATGTGGCTGCGGAAGATTAGATCTTATTTGTGAGGACGGTGAGCTGTGCATTTCAAACTTAAACCCTAATCTAAAAGGTGATGGCAACGTGAAAGACTTTTCGAACCTAGAATATGCTAGTATATTTGGTCTGTGTTTATAAATCTTAAACTTGTTTACCTTTAAACGTATCAAGCCAAAAATTCATTCATTAAAAGAGAGGAGAGTGTCAGATTCTCTTGTCTGTAAAGACTTGCAGAAATGTAGGCTCATGAATCACCACCAATTGATTCATCTTAATCTTCAAAATATTGACTTTACATAATGGTTGTTATCCTCCAAGAAATCTTTCAAAGTTTAAGCAAAAGCCTTAAGCTGAGGATCCTGAAAGGCGACGAGGGTCGCGAGATGTGAGCCGGGGCTCGGGAATTCCACCACGAGATCCGCCAGCCTCTCGCTTGAGACCGATACCACGGAGCTTTTATCCCGATCCTCCTGGACCGGGATCGCCAGCTTCCAGTGCTCCACAAGCTCCTTACAGTTCACGTTTTGCTCCGCCATGCAAGGCCAGGCGAGCATCGGCACACCCGCACAGATCCCCTCCACGGTCGAGTTCCACCCGCAGTGCGTCAGGAATCTGCGGGTGGAGCAAGACGTGCATTTGCGGAGGCCACGAGATCACGGTCCCGCGCTTGCCAATCCGCTGCTTCAATCCCTCGAAGAAATCGTGAACCGATGGATCCGCGACGAGCGTCTTGCGCAGCACAAGCACGAAGGGCTGGTTGCTGCGCTCCAGGCCCCTGGCGAGCTCCTGGAATTGCTCCGTGGACATGGTGGCCACGCTGCCGAAGGAGACGTAGATCACGGAGGATTCCTTCTGTGTGTCGAGCCACTCCAGGCACGCCAGATCCTCGGGAGACAGGTGCTCGCTCGATCGCTCCACCGCTGTCGATTCCCCCGCGAAGAATGCTGGGGAAGTAGCTGGATTTGACCTCACTGCGCAGCGTCGCCACTGCGTGGGGCTCCAGCTCCTCGTAGCTGTTGCACAGCGCGAATCTCGCCTCGGCGAACCGCGACGCGCCGTCGCAGAGCACGCCCAGGATTGGGTGCTCGTGGGCATCGGCGTGCAGGAGTTTCCTTAGAACCCTAAAACCAGGGGAGGCACGAATCCTTTATAGATGTGATAAATGTCGTCGATTGCATTGGAGGTCCAGAGCCGAATTCGTAATTCTGGGTGAATCGGGTTCCCCCCTGGAACTTCCGGATAAGCTCTCACAGAGGATACCATGCCAGGCGGGGCTTCTCCAGGATCTCGCTGGGATCCCTCTTGGCGAGATCGCTGCTGTTGTTACCTGGATCCTCGACGATGCGGACGTTGCTCTTGGCGTCAGGCTCCGCGCGCGTCTGGTGCATGAGCTTGGATTGGATGCGTAGGTCACCGTGAAACGTCGTCGGCCGCGAGACGGCGCAGAAGTGCATCAGCGAGATTGGGAATGGGAACGCTAGGACATGAGGCTTCTTCGCAGCAGCCATTTGCAGCGCTTTATCTTGGATTGGAAGCCAGGTAAGATATAGGCGGCTGGGGAGATTTGGAAGGAACGAGATGGAGAGAGGGATAGATGTCGATGTTGAGGACCTTGAGTGATGCCAGTTGAGAGATGGTGGGCACGCCATTCAAGCTTTTAGGGAGAGGCTTGTCAGCATGGGAACCATTTCCTGTGTTAAAGAAAGGAAGCCCCTCAAGGTGGTGATTGTCCTCAATAACCAATTCTTGCAAGTTCTCCATGCTGGAGGTTACTATAAAGTCACTTTGCACAAAGTATGTCACTTCCAAAGTTCTTAACCTTGGAAATCTGCTCAATCTCAAAATCCCAAGGTCGGGCAAGCCCTGAAAGCTCTCACATGTTCCCCCCCAGTGACCTCGTATTTTCAAATACTTGCTGGTAGATCCACCACTCTGTATGAATAATCAACACCTCGAACTTTGTCAATGCCAGAAACATCCCACCAGATGGAGTCTTCCAAACGTCCTGTTTAAGCATTTCTTACCAAAGTGGTGATTTGGAAATTATGCTTGAACAAGTGCTCAAATAGGACACCACACCATGGAATGCTCCTCGTGAGAGGCACTAAAGTGACTGAAGGCCAAGAAACTAGCCAGGCAATCTGGACCTTTTCCCCATCACCTAAACTAGAACCAGTCCTACAGCACCTTCACAAAGCTTTGCCAGATGATAACGTCCAAGCCAATCCGGGCTGGAAGATTTGTAAAGCTGATGAACGTCCTCAGTTGGCTTTGAAACGAGCAGCTGCTAGAAAAGTTGAGGGAGTCACTCTTGAAGTCTGGGCATGCATTAACCTTGAGAGGAGCTCTCAAGAAGGAACATTATAACAGTTGCAATATTGGATAATATATCTTGTTGTGGAAGAGAGTTGGATGATGTGGCTGGAGATGATGTTGGATCTTGGGTGGAGAGCTTGTCAAAGATGAGATGCCTGGAGCTCATATAGAAGTTGGAACTGGTGGACTGAAGAGTTTAATTTATCATCATTTAGACTTCCTTTTTACTCTTTTAATCATGGAGAAACTTGGTGAGAAGACGAAAGAATTTTTTCTTTTAACTGATGTGAGTGCATGGAATATGAAAATGGGATATAGAAAATATGCATATCAATTAACCCAAAAACCCTAATTTATATATAGAAGCAAGTGGTCTAGATTGAAAAAAATCCAACAACTATCAAAATCCCACAATGCTAATATTAATATATAGCATTGTAGTTGTATATTTAAACCTCATATCATCCCCTCCTCTTGAAATGGTGGAAGATTATTAAGGTTCTCTCATGGATGGGCTAGGATCGGGAGGAACATTAGGAGGAGGTATTGGTGTATTTATAGGTGGTGCTAGCTGTTTCTTATCCCTTTGTATGAAGCATTTCAATTGTTACACATACATAATTTTTGGAAGATCAGCTTGCTGAACGTTATGCCAAACTTTATAAACTTGTTGTCAACCTTGCCACAATACATGATACAGTCCTTTCCACTGAGCAAGCCTTAGGTAAACCACATACCATATAATTGGGAAAATGGACTAATACCAAATCATCTACTTTATACTCTATAGGTGGACAATGATGGAAGTTATAGTGCTATTGTTATCCCATTTGTATATAACCCAGGTCTTTGGCAAACTCTGTTTAGACAAGTGGAAGAATGCTTGTCAAATATTAATCCCACAACTTAGCATCAGCAACTCGTAGCAATTGCAAAAGTAAACATAACTCTATTGGTAATATTGGATCATAACCATATAAAAGTTTATATGGTGAAGCACTAAGAACTTTACATCCTTATGACATATATATACCAAAGAGATGGCAAATAACCATCCCAATCCAAATGCTAAAAGTTTACATACTTTGTGATTCCCTTTGAAGATCTAAATGAGTTGTTTCACTAAACTGTTTGATTGTGGATGCTAAGCACTTGTGAAAATGTGACATATCCCCAACCAAGACATTAAAACATGAAATGCCTCAATCATAAATATGGGACCATTATCTGAAAAAATCTGCTTTAGATAGGAATGCTAGAACACCACTTGATTAAGGAGGAAAAATCTAATTGCAATTGTAGACACACTAGCAAAAGCACTAACTTCCATTTAGCAAATCAAGTAGTTAAAAGCAATAATAACATACTCATTGCTAATAGTTGATCATGAAAAAGGCCCCATCAAATCAAATGCCACAAACTCAAATGAATAAGAAATTGTAATTAACTCTAACCATCCTACAACATGAGGGAGAGTATTATGAGCTTAGCACCAAATATAGCTATATCGGATAATATCATATTGCATCTCTAGTTAATAAAAAGACCTGTGCAGCTTCTCAGTCACACAACGATGTCCCATATGCCCAACTAAAATAGGAGAATCATAGTAAGCGTGGAGAAAGTGGAATAAAGATCAAAGGCACCACTAACCATAAATGATTATCAAGATTTATCCCCACAAAATAAAAAAGACCATCCTCAAGGAGATATTGAGAATGTAAATGTCGAAATAACAAGTTATCAATAAGTGATATAAAATTCTCAAACTCATCGTGTGTAAAGACCCCCAACAAGATCAAAACTGGAAAATGCAAAAGAAAAAAAGAAAAGCTAGTGGAAACGAAGAAAAGGCCTTAGACTGGCATTGATTCAGATTGTGGAGAAATGGAACAAGTCTAACCTATATATGCTATAAGTTGATGAAGCTCCACCACTCTTGGATCGAGGACAGCCTAAATATAGCTGAGGTCGAGGAGGCGCCACATCATCATCAAGAATGTGGCTCAAGACTCAGGAATCATATAGGAAATTAGAGAGTCAGGAATAGGGAAGTGTCTCGAGAGTTAGGAATGTGGTTTGCAGATCAGGAATCTAGCGAGAGTCAGGAATGTGGTCTGTAGGTCAGGAATCTAGTGAGAGTCAAGAATGTGGTAGGAATTGGGGGATTCCTGACATCATGAAGCCTTCAAATCCATGGCTCAATGAGAAGGTAAATCTTACTCTGCATCTTGTGAACACTGAATATCAAATACAACAATTGCTAATGGTATGGAATCCTTGTCTAAAAAATTCACAGATGTGGGAACAATAGGCTCATTAAAAACATGATAAAAGAGTGAAGAAGAAAAAGGAGTTTGAGAAAGGCTATCAGCATCAGCTATATAACTCTTTAGGTGATGAACAACATCAAAATCATATATCTTAAGATTCAAAACCCACTAAATAGTATGACCAACCAAGTTCTTCCACTTTAATAATGAAATAACTATAACATGATCACCTTCTGATAATATCCAAGAACCATGTAGATATGCATAAAGTTTCTTGAAACCCCAAATTGTTGCTAAACACTCTGCTATCATGGAGTAGTTTCACTTCCACTGGTTGTAATATATAGTTAATATATGCAATGGGATGGCATTGATCATATACACTTTCTTGCATTAACACACCTCCAAGACTGATATCAAAAGTATCCATGTGCAAAATGAAAGGTTAAGTATAGTCCGGATATATCAAAATTGGAGGAGTTGTC